AAATTCGGTTTGCTAATATTTTGTTGAGTATTTTTGCATCTATGTTCATCAGGGATATTGGTCTGTAGTTTTCTTTTTTTGTGGTGTCTTTGCCTGCTTTTGGTATTAGAGTGATGCTGGCTTCATAGAATGAGTTTGGAAGTATTCGCTCCTCTTCTATTTTTTGGAAAACTTTAAGGAGAATGGGTATTATGTCTTCTCTGTATGTCTGATAAAATTCAGCAGTGAATCCATCTGGTCCAGGAGTTTTGTTCTTAGGTAGTTTTTTGATTACTGATTCAAGTTCATTGCTGGTAATTGGTCTGTTCAGATTTCCTGTTTCTTCCTGGGTTAGTCTTGGAAGGTTGTATTTTTCTAGAAAGTTGTCCATTTCTTCTAGGTTATCCAGTTTGTTAGCATATAATTTTTCATAGTATTCTCTCATAATTCTTTGTATTTCTGTGCTGTCTGTCGTGATTTTTCCTTTCTCATTTCTGATTCTGTTTATGTGTGTAGATTCTCTTTTTCTCTTAATAAGTCTAGGGGTTTATCTATTTTGTTTATTTTCTCAAAGAACAAGCTCTTGGTTTCATTAATTTTTTCTATTGTTTTTTTCTTTTCAATTTTATTTATTTCTTCTCTGATCTTTATTATGTCCCTGCTTCTGCTGACTTTGAACTTCATTTGTTCTTCTTTTTCCAGTTACAATAATTGTGAATTTAGATTATTCATTTGGGATTGTTCTTCCTTCTTTAAATAGGCCTGGTTGCTATATACTTTCCTCTTAGAACTGCCTTCAGTGCATCCCACAGGAGTTGGGGCATTGTGCTGTTGTTTTCATTCGTCTCCATACATTGCTTAATCTGTTTTAATTTGGCCATTGATCCATTGACTATTTAAGAGCATGTTGTGTTTGAGCATGTTATGAGCCTCCATGTGTTTGTGAGCCTTTTTGTTTTCTTTGTACAATTTATTTCTAGTTTCATACCCTTGTGATCTGAGAAGTTGGTTGGTACAATTTCATTCTTTTTTAATTTACTGAGGCTCTTTTTGTGGCCTAGTATGTGGTCTATTCTGAAAAATGTTCTGTGTGCACTTAAAAAGAATGTGTATCCTGCTGCTTTTGGGTGGAGAGTTCTGTAGATGTCTGTTAGGTCCATCTGTTCTAATGTGTTGTTGAATACCTCTGTCTCCTTACTTATTTTCTGTCTACTAGATCTGTCCTTTGGCGTGAGTAGAGTATTGAAGTCTCCTAGAATGAATGCATTACATTCTATTTCCCCTTTTAATTCCATTAGTATTTGTTTCACATATGTAGGTGCTTTTGTTTTGGGTGCATAGATATTTATAATGGTTATATCCTCTTGTTGTACTGACCCCTTTATCATTATGTAATGTCCTTCTTTGTCTCTTGTGACTTTCTTTGTTTTAAAGTCTATTTTGTCTGATACAAGTACTGCAACACCTGCTTTTTTCCTCCCTATTAGTTGTATGAAATATCTTTTTCCATCCCTTCACTTTAAGTCTGTGTATGTCTTGGGTTTGAAGTGAGTCTCTTGTAGGCAGCATACAGATGGATCTTGTTTTTTTTTATCCACTTAGTGACTCTATGTCTTTTGATTGGTGCATTCAGTCCATTTACATTTAGGGTGATTATCTATAGGTATGTACTTATTGCCACTGCAGGCTTTAGATTCATGGTTACCAAAGGTTCAAGGTTAACTTCCTTACTAAGAGTCTAACTGAAATCACTTAGTATGCTGTTACAAACACAATCTAAAGGTTCTGTTTTTTCCCCTCCCCTCCTTTTCTTCCTCCTCCATTCTTTATATATTAGGTCCCATATTCTGTACTCTTTGTCTATCCCTTTTTATTACCTCTGGTGACAGCTATTTAACCTTAGGAACACTTCCATCTATAGCAGTCCCTCCAAAATACACTGTAGAGATTGTTTGTGCAAGCTAAATTCTCTCGACTTTTGCTTATCTGGAAATCGTTTAATCCCTCCTTCAAATTTAAATGATAGTCTTGCCAGATAAAGTATTCTTGGTTCCAGGCCCTTCTGCTTCATTGCATTACATACATCATGCCACTCCCTTCTGGCCTGTAAGGTTTCTGCTGAGAAGTCTGATGATAGCCTGATGGGTTTTCCTTTGTATGTGATCTTATTTCTCTCTCTGGCTGCTTTTAATGGTCTGTCCTTATCCTTGATCTTTGCCATTTTAATTACTGTATGTCTTGGTGTTGTCTTCCTTGGGTCCCTTGTGTTGGGAGATCTGTGCACCTCCATGGCCTGAGAGACTATCTCCTTCCCCAGATTGGGGAAGTTTTCAGCAACTACCTCCTCAAAGACACTTTCTACCTCTTTTTCTCTCTCTTCTTCTTCTGGTACCCCTATAATATGAATATTGTTCTGTTTAAATTGGTCACACAGTTCTCTCAATATTCTTTCATTCTTAGAGATCCTTTTTCCACTCTGTGCCTCAGCTTCTTTGTATTCCTCTTCCCTAATTTCTATTTCATTTATTGTCTCCTCCACTGTATCTAATCTGCTTTTAACACCCTCCATTGTGTTCTTCAATGATTAGATCTCCATCCTAAATTCATTCCTGAATTCTTGAATATTTTTCTGTACCTCCATGATCATGTTAATGATTTTTATGTTTAAATCTCTTTCAGGAAGATTCATGAGGTCGATTTCATTTGAATCTTTCTCAGGTATATTCATAATTTTGCTTTGAACCAGGTTCCTTTGACATTTCATAATTTGTCTGTGGTGCCCTCTAGTGCCCAGAAACTATACTCTTTGGAGCTGCTCAGCCCCTGGAGCAATGTCGGAGGTCACAGGGGAGGGGTGTTGGTGCTTGGGATGAGGAAAGAGCTGCTTTCTGCTCCCTGGCTGCTATGCCTGTCTCCACTGCCAGAACCAGTGGGCCGAACACACAGGTGTAAGCCTCTATGCTTTGGGTTTGTAACTGCTGTAGCTGGGGCTTCCCTGTGGCTGGCCTGATGCCGAGGCAGGGGTTGATGGTTTGTGAGCCTGAGCCAGGTGCAGGCTAGCTGGGAGGAAGACACAGCAGGCTGCATGTCATAGTGGGGGGCCTTGAGGCTGCATAGCCAGCCAGGGGGATGGAGTGCCTGAAGATCGTTTAAGCTCCCAACCTGCTGGGCAGAGCGCACCTGGACAATTTTTGTCTACCTGTCCTTTCTCTTGAGCAGTAAGCTCTGTGCAATCCTTGCCCCTTTGGCAGCCCCCTTGATTTTAGAGTCTCTCAGATCAGCCCAGATCAGCCGGATATGAATCCCTGTTCTCCACAAGCAGCTGGAATCTCTGTCTCTCCAGGTATTCCGCCTGTCTTATCTTTCCAACCTTACTAAATCTCCAGAGCACCATGCAATGTAGGTTCATGCTCCCAGAGCAGATCTCCAGGGCTGGGTGTTCAGCAGTCCTAGGCCTCCACTCCCTCTCCGCTCTGTTTCTCTTCCTCCCACTGGTGAGCTGGGGTAGGGGAAGGGCTTGGGCTCTGCCAGGTCACAGCTTTGGTATGTTATCCTGTTCTGTGAGGTCTGCTCTTTTCTCCAGGTGTATGCAGTCAGGTGTAGCCTTCTTTCCTGTTACTCTTTCAGGATTAGTTGTATTAATTATATTTTTGTATTATATGTGGTTTTAGGAGGAGGTCTCCATCTCACCTCTCACGTCGCCATCTTTAATCCAATCGCTCAAAACGGACCACTTTTCTAAAACTGTTCACACATTATAGCAGCCTAAGTGGCTGAAACAGAAGGGTGATCACATCTGCGGTCCTGGTTCCATGTGCTCAGTGAGATCACCTTGCATTAAAGCAGGCTCCTCCCCCTGGCCAATGACGACCTGCCCATGAAGTAGCTCCTGGGCCCGCAAAAAATTGAATGGCCCTGGGAAATAGTATGTTCTGCAAAGTTATAAATAGTGACCTCTGCTAAGGGAGAGGGAGGATTTTTTTTGATGCTTAGTGTGTTGCTTTAGAGGCACAGGTAGATTAGCACATCTTTATATTCGTCAAGATTGTCACCAAATCCCAGTGGTTAAAAAGCAGTAACACTGAAATGGTAGCGAGCTATGCAATCCAGTTCTGTGGATGGAGCACAACCAAAAAGTTTCCTACCTTGCAGACTTCTTGGCCAGGCTCTTTCCCGTAGCTCCTTGGACTGCAGACCTGTTTAGTTTCTGATTTTAAGAAAATTACCCTGCTTTCCTTTGAAGCATAAAGCTTCTGCCAAAGCCATCTTCCATTTTAAAGTTCGATTTTTAGAGAAATATTTCATTAAACCTGTTTGGGAACATACACGTGAAGCTTATGAAAGTATTTTCAGTAACTTTCCTCCAGCTAAGAGCCACAGGCTGGAAAAAATCCGAACACATCAGCTCCATGTCGAATCATGTAGGCCTTCCCTAAACTTCTGAGCCCCTTTGGCATTTCATATAAAGAAATGACAGAACATGAGCAGGAGCTAGTGAGATCTGACATGGTCTTGGATTAAAGTGGAGAGCAACAAGTATACTGTCATTCATTGTTGCACAGATAACATCTGTTTCCTAAAATGCCAGTACACCTTGAAAGGGGAGCTAGACAGCAGAGGCGACTGACTCCAGCAATCTGCAGGCAGCAGAAGTGCACGCGCTCCCAGGCAGAGGTGGGCTGTGTGCGCGCTCAGGCAGGCTCAGCTGCCAGAAACACTGAGGTACCGCGGGACCACTGCTCGGGGGAGCGGTTTATGATGTTACTCTTCTTCTGAATTCCTCTTTAGGGTTCTTTGCCCCTGAAATCATTTGCTGCAGTCTGTCAGAAAGACGGATCCTGGGACCAGCCGACGCCGGAGTGCAGCAGTACGGACGGTCTCGTGGCCACCACTCCCGGAACCACTTCTGCAGCTGCTGCTCTGCTGGCTTCTTCTGGGCTTTTACAAATGATCCTATTTCTCAGGATTGAATTCCAGATCTGCTCCTCTTTCCCAGTCTCCCAGTGCAGTCTTAGAGGTTGAAACAGAACCAAGCTACTAGGGAAAGTGTGTTTCAGGGAGGTGTGATCTCTAAAAATGTAAGATTCTAAGTGTAAAATAGTTGTAGGAGATGGGAAATAGGGAGAAACTGTATCTTAATACCCATAATCCTACCATATGAGTGTGTAGACAGTTTCACTATCTTGATGCTAATCCCTCCAATTAACACACATTTCACATGAGTGAACATGTATAGGCTGTATGTAGAGATGGGTGTGCAAACATACACACTGCCTGTGTGATAGTGTATGTTACCACTTTGCATACTAAAAATCATGTATTTTAATTTTGTTTTAAAATACATTTTAGCTGGGAAAAATAAAAATTCCAAAGTATATAGTAAAGGGCTCTCTTGCCCAAATCCTCAAATTACGTTTGGGGTTCACTCCTTCACCGTATCTCCCCTTCTATATATACTAACACACTTCACTATTTAACCACATACGATACTAAATCTGCGTTGTCATTTTCCCCTCCGTATTGCCTATCTCCCCACATCCACCCAAGTATTAAGGGAGCCACTTGTTCTCCCTAATGGCTGCACAGTATTCCATCACAGGACGTAAGCTTTTATTTAATCCTTTTTGTTTCCAGGTTTTTTACTTACTCCATACACTACTATAGTTAACACCTTGTACATATATTCTTACATATTTTTATGCAAGAATTTCTAGGGGAACTTATTTTCACTTCACACATTTACATTCCCACTAGCTCTTTTACTTGAGAGAACAGTAAAGGTATGGCACCAAATGTTTGGGTGTGAACCCCAATTCAGCCACCTTTCCCATCTATAGATAGCGCAGGCAAAGCACATGACACAGAGCCAGGTACACAGCTACTAAACTGCTGAAAACTATTTAAATATAACCTGTTAACAGCCACAGAAATCTGCTTCTGGATGTCTCCTGGGTGGAGGGCAGTGACTTCCAGGCTGCAATCAGAAACTGGTCAGTTCTTCCCCGTTAGCAGTATGCTGACCGTTGACTCCTAACCCAAACTCAAGGTATTGCAAGTGCCAGGTCTTCTAAGTGGCCCAATTTACAAAAATAACAAGCTAAGCCCTTCAGTCTTCTCTGCATTGTTTCCTGAACTGCAAACCCGGCGCCCTGTTACTGCACGACGTACTGATGTGTGCAGGCTGTGCCCCTTCCTTCCGTGATGCCGCTTTGCCCAGACCTGTGTGTTCAAGTGAGAGAGCTGAGGAAACTCAAGTGGGTTCAAATTTCCTTCCCTTAGGAAAGCCATCAGACCACTCCTTCCCTAGGGTTTAGTGAGGACCAGAGATGAGTGATGCTTTAAAATCCCAGAGGTGATTCCATTTTCAGAGATGAAGTTATGTCCACCACACAGGGGAAAGCAAGTATGGCAAGTTCCACATCACACCTCAGTCTCCAATCTTTTCTGTTAGTACTGAAAGTACAGACTGACTCATGCCTCTGCCATATTTATTAGTTGTTGACTGTGGCCCTCCTGATGACCTACCCAACGGCCAAGTGGAGTACATCACGGGTCCAGAAGTGACCACCTACAAAGCTGTGATTCAGTATCGCTGTAATGAGACCTACTACACAATGAGGGCAAACGACAGTAAGCACTGTTCAAAGGTGGGGGTGGGTGATGTATGGCACCTAAGCCCTCATGGTCTGAAATCAACTTTACAGTTTTGGCTAAGGCTAGGCAAAGATTAAAAGGCACTTCTCCCACCCACTAAGTGAAATATTACAGCTGAAGTGACTTTAATGTCAATTTGCAAGAATCTGAAAACAGATCTTATCTAGTAAATGACTACTACAAACACACAATATATTCCAAATGGTTTAATTTAACAAGTCAAAACCTTATCATTAAGCACTTGAGATCTTGATACATATTCAAGTTATACATCTAAAAGGTTTCCACTTTGCAAGCAAACATGGTAATGCAGAGACCTCCTATTTATGAAATCATGTAAAATGGTTATTCCGACACCTCTATTTCCCAATGATGCTCAAGAATCAACATTTTTCAAGGGGGTATTCAAGCAAATGACAACCACCTTATACATGCAGTTAAACATTTTTGCTTTTCCAATGATTTGCAGGTAAATATGTATGTGAGGCTGATGGATTCTGGACGAGCTCCAAAGGAGAAAAATCACTCCCCGACTGTGAGCCTGGTAATGGATACATTTATACAAGAGATTCGTAATTGATGGAAAGTAGAACCCAGTAGGAAACACTAAGTAGAGTTTTAGCTGCTGTAGGCAGAAATGTGACTTCAGCACTTGGCTTAGCCCAAGTTATTTCCAAATAATGTGTTCCCATTATCCCCTTTTCTACATGGAGGTTGTTAGGTGCTGACTCCATCCGTCACTTGATTATTTTTGACCTTACAACTAAGCAAGCATAAAAAATTAAATGATTTTTAAAATTATCTTGAATCATTTATACATTTATAAACTTGAGTTCTGCTGCTGAGTTACTTTTCTTCTCTGTAAAAATGCTATTAAAACCCAAAGCTAATAACTTCATTATTTCCCTAAGCAATTGTTTTCAATGCCATCTCGTTTTTAAACATTAATGTAATTTGCCTTTTAATAGTACTTAAAAATTTTTTTTCTTACCAGAATTGGCTCTGATACAGTTGAGTAGAGTGATTAAAAAAATCAGAGAGGTAATAATATATTCATTACCCCTGTTACTTGGCTTAAAGGTAATAATATATTCATTACCCCTGTTACTTGGCTTAAATTAGTTTTAAAAAACTTTTATCTTAGCAGACACAACGATTTTGTAAGTTCTAAAAATACAAGTATTCTGCCACAAGATGGAACATTTTTTCTGTTAGTAAGTTTACTTAGTTAGCAATATACAGCCAAATTTGGTGTTTGGATGGATCAACTAGACCAGAAATAGTAATTTCTGAACCTGAAGATTCCTCTGTAACTGCAACTTTTCTAATTCTTAAGACATTTAAATATTCAAACGTGAAAGTGATTTTTCAAATCCTGTATGATAGTGACCTTGGTTCCTGCTTTGCCAGAACTACATGGTAAATACCCCGTAGGAAAACATAAGCAATGAAAAGGTTATTCCCTTTCAATTCCTACCACATCATCACCCAACACATCAGCTTAATTTGTTTGCTCTAGTTTTTCTAACCATGTAGACCAAATTATCATAGCAAAACAAATTACTTTCTAAAATTTAACTTTCACTCAGCTCATTTTCTGAGAAACTAAGAAATATAAAGGTTTTATCATGTCTTTGAACTATGCTGTTTTAAGGCAACCTCACTTGCTTGTATAGGTGAACACCTAACCAATTCATGTGATACAATTTTTGGCTTACATTAAACATGCATTAACTCCAGAGTGGTAGTAATCAGAGAAAAACATAATACAGTTTCTATAAAGGCTCTTTATCTGCTTCTTTCCCCAGTTTGTGGAGTATCAACCCGTACTACAAGAGGTCGTATATACGGAGGGCAAAATGCAAAGCCTGGTGATTTTCCTTGGCAAGTCCTGTTATTAGGTGAAACGATAGCAGCAGGGGCACTTTTGTACGACAACTGGATCCTCACGGCTGCCCATGCTGTGTATGAGCAAAAAGAAGATGCCTCCTCCCTAGACATTAGAATGGGTGCCCTGAAGAGACTGTCAACTCATTATACACAAGCGTGGGCGGAGGCCATTTTCATACATGAAGGCTACACTCATAACGCTGGTTTCGATAATGATATAGCACTGATTAAATTGAAGAGCAAAGTTGTAATCACTAGCAACGTCAGGCCTGTTTGTTTGCCAAGAAAAGAAGCTGAATCCTTCATGAGGACAAATGACATTGGGACTGCATCTGGATGGGGATTGACCCAAAGGGGTTTTCTTGCCAGAAGTCTAATGTTTGTTGACATACCAATTGCTGACCATCAAAAATGCACCGCTGCTTATGAAAAGAAGCCCTATCCAGGGGGAAGGGTAACTGAGAACATGCTTTGTGCTGGCCTAGAAAGTGGAGGTAAGGACAGCTGTAAAGGTGACAGTGGAGGGGCACTGGTGTTCCTAGACAGTAAGACCCAGAGGTGGTTTGTGGGAGGAATAGTGTCCTGGGGCTCCCTTAGCTGTGGGGAGGCAGATCAGTACGGGGTCTACACAAACGTCATCAACTATACTCCCTGGATCAAGAACATAATGAATACTTTTTAATTAGTTTTCAATCAGTAAATGATTCCTTATTTTAAAAAATATCTGTGAAAGATCTCCGCAGTAATGTGACTTGAGAAACATTAACAGGCGGCTGTTGCTCCATCCAAAAACCCAAACCAAACTACGGGTGAGGCTGCCACTACAGGCGCTTCTGGGCTTGCCAGTTTCTTGCCTCTTATTCTTTGATTCAAGGAAACCTAACCCATTATAGTGATGGTCACCTCTGCCAATCCAATAGAAACACGGGTGAAATTTGCCTTTGATTACTTTTAAAAGCCCAGCATCTTTCTGTTCTGGCCATTTGCATTTCTGTTCTTTAACTACATTTCTACTGATGTTGGACTTTTTCTTATTGATCTCTAAGAGATCTTAATATATTGTAGCAGTATTGGTTCAGGAATAACCTTGAATCACAGGGGATTTTTGGTAGATAAACTGGAAACATCCATACTTTAGCCTAGGTATTGACTGATTTCCATGTTAAAAACCAGTACCACTGAACAGTGAGATACAGTTTTCACTTATCAAACTGGCAGACAAAAAGAACATGGAATAGCATTATTTAACATTGTTAAGAAAACATTTTCTAAAGGACAATTTGGCAATATATTTCAGAAGGCTTAAAAGCATGCAGTCATTGACCTACTAATTCCAAGGCTAGGCAATTAATTTACCTGTGAGGATGTTCTTAGCACTTGGAAATAACCTAAATAATCAGATTCAGAACAGTTGAATCAAATGTGGCATTTCCGTAAGATGAAACACAACACTAGAAGCAGTGATTATCATAGGTCAGTCTGTTGTGGTTTTTTCTCCTTATTACAATGAACATGAAATACTGGGGCATGCTTAACTGAACAGTAACAGATCACAGATCACACAACAGCTGAGTGAAGTACAGACTCAAATACACAGGTAAGAGCTACTCTTCCAGAGCAATAAAAAATTACTCTATTTATCACATACATCTTCTGAATTACTAAGTAGTTTCTACCTTTTTCCTTAATTCAAAATTTAAGTTTGGGACTTAATCTTGTAAATATAATTTTAGTTAACCTTAAAAATATAACCCTAATAAGTTTTAATAGCTAACATTAAACGTTTTTCATTCCAACCAGTTATTACCATTACCATTTATGTAAAATTGCATTGAGTTTTGGCCTAATTTCTCTTGTGCATATAAAGTGCAACTAATTAAGACTCACTTTTTCAAAGGTGACTTTCCAGCATCTTTGTCACATATAAAAAAGAAACTTTTCCCAGTAAGACTCCAGACACTAAACTGTGGTGGCAACAAAAATTTTTATTCAACTGGTTCAAAAGATTTTTTTTAGAATGAATGCATTATGACCAAATAGACTTTAAAAACAAATCTTTGCCAAATAGTTTACTTCTGAACTTTGTTTTTTTTTTTTAAGGGTAGAATTAAAATACCCATAGGTAGGTAGTACCACAAACATGTTAACAGAAGGCTACTCAACATTGAGAGCCTTCTAAGACCGGTAACTATATTTACACGAGGGTAAATAAATAATTAAAACCATGCCATTGACAAGTTAACTTACCCCTGGGCTCCTTGATGGCTTGTCAGTTTAGTCTTTGGAGGTCCCCGAATACCATTTTAAGTGTTATCATGTTACTGCTGCTGAGTAATAGTGCAAGTGCTAAAATGCAAAATTCAGATGGTACAGGATTTTGGAAATCATGCAATTTAGATGCAAAAAAATAAATAAAATTAAAAACATAAGATCCTTTTACAGAAGAAACTGAATAATGAAACGTGGCGATCACAAATCTATAAAGGACTTTGTTTATCAAAGTTTAAAACACGTAACTTGCAAAATGACAAACCTATTTATCATAATCTAATGAGATAAGGGCATTAGGTAAACTATCAACACAAAAACATTCTTTCATTAGAAAATGAGCTCAACTCTCACAGCAGCAGTAGTTACATAAAAAATACAATAATCAACTTATTATTGCTTACACACTTAACAACGCATTGTGAGAGTCTGAGTTCTGTAAACGATTTTATTCAACATTACTGTATTCCCCCACATCTGAAGGATGAAGCCCACTTCACTTAACACTTCCACAGACAACCCACCCTGCTACTTCTTAAAGCTATCAGGCTTCTTAATGGATTTCAGGCACAAAATTAACTTGTGGTTTCTTCTACTTTATCCCTACTGCAATTAATTCCACTTTTCAAATCCCAAGCTAGTAAGGTGCTGAATATTCCCTTTTCAATTGATATGCTTTGCTACAAAGCATTTGAAAATAATTAACATTGTTTGCCCACTCCCCCAAATAAGAATATTTCAAAGGCGTGATTTCCCAATGGAGATTTATATAGGCCATGTAAATAGAACATCACCCAAATGCACAGAGGCACTAAGAAAAAGCTGGAGGGTACTGCTTACCATTTTAGGTGTGGTCACCCAGACTTATTAAAAACTAGATTTAAAAAGAAAAAAAAACTTTTCACTTTGGACAATGCAAGAACAAATAGCAATTAAGTCTGGGCATCAGGTGTCAATGCATGACAGGTGATGAATCCATTTGACTTGAGACAACTTTTCAAATAAGTTTATTTGAAGCAAAATAAACTACTGCCAAGAAACTTTATGAAAGTTCCATCTCAAAAGGGTCAAAAAAGGGGAATTAACTGCTATGAATTCTTTGCATTCAGGGCTGCAAAACAAAGACACATATTATTTAAATCAGTTTTATTTAAGAATTTCCAACATTGACAACTCTTATAAAAAGCATCCAAGCACAGGACACAGAACTGCAGCAAACAGCATTCTTAGGGGTAGCTAACAGACATGAGAACTTCCACCCTTCTGTGAGACATCCTGAGCTCACTGGTGAACTCTGCTTCCAAGTACTCCTGCAAAGCACACCACAAGCTCAGTCCATGTTCTCAACCCATCAGCTTCAGTTCACGTGACCACACTTACAGATCAGTAACAGAAGAGAACACACACCATACAGCATTCACAGCAGTTGACAAAGGGGTAGGGGAAATACAAGTATCGTTTCACTTAACACATTCAACTAACGTAGGTTACCTAAGAACAAAACTCACTTAAAGTCTTCCAACAGATGTGGATGTCCTTTGAATGCAAAAAACATTCACATATTATTTGCTATCATTGCTCTCTGCACACTCTCTCACCAAAGCCACAGGATTGAGAGACACATCTCGCCAAGTTAAAAAATATCCATTTTGCACCACCAAGTCTCTGCACGCGCTCTCCTTTTCTCGCTCATACTAGCCTTTCATGCCTCGGCACCACCATCAATCCCACACAAGGTTTCAAAAGTTCAAACAGCCTTCTGGTTCCATATCACAGCCTTGCGTTCATAGCGTTGATACGACTCCATGAAATAAAGAGTAGCAGATAAAAATGGGACACCCACCGTCAAAGACGCAGCCTGTGAGGCGTGATGACGAATTCTTGAATGAGAAAGCATGTGGACAGAAGTGTTCCTATGGCAGAGTATTTACAGCACAACTTTCAATGAAGTGCTTCTTCCACAAACATTTGAAATGAGATGAACTGCAGAGATTAAATGAAGGCTCCATATTGTACTTTTGCACATGAAGGGAGACAGTGTTAAAAAAAACAAAAACAAAAGAACTAAACACTGTGACACCATGATCTCTGAAAAGGAGATTTTCCTAAGGAAAAATCCATATGGTGGGGTTCAAATTAAAACAAGGAGAAAAGAATGTATTTCTAATCAATGGTTTCCATTTTGAACATGCAAAGGATTCACTTGACAAGTCCAGGGATAAAATTAATTACAGGAGAAACCTTTTGATGTCAATTGTAGTGTGTTGGTTTTTACCAATCAGGCAGACAGCAGTTCACTTTCAAACACTCAATATTTCAACCCTTTATGTAACAAAACTTAGAAAATTCCTTTAGCTCTTCCTCTTTTTCTAAAGAAAAATGTCAAAAATACTGCTGAATATACTCCACACTGAACCAATTTCGAAAATTCTTAGTACATATGTATTTTACAATATACTTACCATGAGTTTAGAAAAATTTGAATTCCCACCAGTCTATACCCACCAACCAAAACTTTTGTCTACATTCCCCAGCCAGAAGATTTAGAATCCATGCTTGAGCCAAAGCCCCCATTAAAACCACTGCCTGACCCTGCATTTGATGCCGATCCCCAACCAATTGCTGCACCTGAATTTGAACCACTGTAAGAGTTATTTCCAGAACCAAAGGCCTGATTTGGCTCCCTCTGCATGTTGCCTTGGCTTTGGTTATTACCCGAGGGGCCTGACTGGTTCTGCTGACTGGCTAACATGCCCATCATACCCCAGCTGCTCTGTAGGGCTGCCTGGGCTGCAGCCATCATTGCAGGATTAATGCTGAAAGCACCGAAGTTCATCCCTCCACCCATATTACTACCTTGATTATTTCCCAAGCCAGCTCCACCCCCTCTACTGTTACCAAATCCACCCTGATTCCCAAAGCCACCTGGATTACCACCAAATCTTCCACTTCTTTCTAACTGTCTATTGCTATTGTGCTTAGGTTCAGCATTGGATATATGTACGCTGATTCCTTTAATGATCAAGTCCTCTCCACAAAGAGACTGGGCAACCTATAAGAAATAAGGATGTAAATAAAGATGATTAAACATTGACTCATATCTCAAAGCAGTAATAAAACTTAGATTCAAGCCATTATTTAAGCTGGAGGAAAAATAAACAATGAATGCTCATTTCATTTAAATCCATAAAATAGCCTTTAGCTTCAATAATGGCAACAAGGATTTTCCAGTTTGTTTTCAAAAGATACATTACACTCCCAGTTAAATGCCATATACTGGAAAATACTAAAGGGTTTATTACAAATAACTAGGATCATAAACCCCGCAGCTTACAAGGTCAGAAAGCTTAGCTAAGGACAGCAATTAGCTTGATGGGAAAAGTGCAAGAGAAATTACCTAATTAGCTGGGACAAACTTATTAAAG